AACACTTAAGGAAAACAACTGGCATTTTTAAAGAGATTTACAATGAAGTCAATATAACAATACTTGATATACTTGCAAAGACAAATATTTGATGAATGCCCACAAAAACATCGGCTGTCGTTTTGTCAAAGAAACCGCCTCGGGCAAGTTCCCACAATTCAACGCGTCACGGGAAATTACTGCGAACGGCACACCAACGTTAATGTTCACGGATTATTACTGGGTAAAATCTGGTATTGTTTTACTGTGCAGGGAATAAAAATTCCACGCATGACTTTTATTTACAACTCTCTCATTCTGCGTTTTAATACATTACTGGTATGAGTATTGCAATAACGTAGAGTATACCATCAATGGAAGCCGACTCGGCTGCACTGTGAATGCGGACTAGATGTCCCCCTAGAAAAGTGTTACAAAATGCCTCAGCGTCTATGAACCTTAACATTGTGTTAAAGTAGATGTAGCAGTAACTGTTTGCTGCACATAATCTCTAACCATCGGCAAAGTCTGAAGGGAAAGTTAGGGCAAAACATTATAATTTTTAATTTATATGTATTCAACAAATATAGTGAGCAGACGTGAAAGGTAGGCCTACAGAGAAGAATAACCCTTTGTGGGAGGAAATGTATGTAGAACCATGAGGCGAGCAAACTTTTGTAGCCCCTGTACCTACAAAGGGGCCATCCTGAATGAGAAGAGCCGAGTGCTAGCTGGTCCACGGCCTAAATATGGCGTACCTACATGAAAGGAAGATCGCTTAATCCTGTAATGGTCTCTCAGCCTCTTTCACGCCTCCCCACGCGTCGTCACTCAACCGGTCGAATCGAGACGAGATTTAATTACTGTGCCCCTGCAGGGACGACACGTGGGGAGGCGTGAAAGAGGCAAGATAGTTCATAAAAAGATGTTCCTATATACCCACAGAAAAAAAGTGACAGAATGTATAACTAAAATGGCTTAATCAGTGATGTGATTCATCTATTTCTCATACACAATTGTCTGTGACTAAATGGGTTTCAGTCTGACCTAAGCTAAACTAGATATCTACTAGTAACGAAATTTACGACTTCTAAAGCGGTGCAACAACATTTTGATGATTTCATTACTAAAAAGGTGTTGAAGCGTTGATGTATGCCCCTAAATTGTGACGAGGCCATAATATACAGCGTTGTAAGATGCTTCGAGGCATGCATCGCGCAGTTAAGGTCAATTCACTATACCCGACTAAATGGTACTAAAGTGTTTGAAATAGTATATCTGAAATAAATACTTCAGTGCTTTGTTATCCCCCCCCCCCAAAAAAAAAAAAAAAGGCATTTCCTTGGATAATGTCTGGGTACTCTCTGTGCCAAAGGGACTGAAGGGAAACGTACGTCAAATTTCCAACCAGAAATTTAAAGAAGTTGCAGTTTAAAGATAAGCAGATGAGAACCTAGGGTCTCACATGTTACATACAACACTTACATAATCATGTGTCCTTTTATCCTCCTTTGATAGAGAGGGGGCATTTGCAGAGCAAAATAAAAATAAAAATTGATCAGCGTGTAACCCAGTCCCATCCAATTCACCCCACCCCCTCTCTACAAGTATTATGGGCACTTGGTATCCAGGTATTCTTTGGGGCGGATGCAGCATTCATAGTTATAAAAATACAGGTGAGCACATTTGCAAGATGTTACTACAGGGATGCTCTGCACTTGCTGTCAGTTCTCCCGGTGAGTCAGTTGATGCAGAAACCCAATGTTCTGAGGATGGAGCGACCATCTTTGAGCCCTGATATCAACCCTACTGAGGACTCATGTTATGAATTGGGGTGTGCAATGCCGAGGAACACCAAATTCCCGAAAACCGTGGAAAACAATGTGAATCACATTTTATTTCATAATGAACCCTATTTCCCCCAGGCATAATTTATGTAGTTGAAACCCATATTTTTCTATGGAAAATGGCAGTCACCCTGAATTTTTTTTCAAATTGCCGAAGGATACACAATTTCTTGCCACCATATACATATACATATTAAAAGGGTATTGAAGATATGGAAAAGGCTAAGAAGCAATCTAGATTTAAAGAATGGGCAATTTATCTTCCTGGTTGTAGTTGATACTCATATATATATATGGAACCCATATATTGGCGGCCAACTTGGATTTTTTCATATTTCCCATGCTAGGATTACTAAAGACTTTTAGTATTTCATTTTGGGGACTTAATACAAAAATTTTGTGGTAAAATAAAAATGTTGCAATTACTTTCCAAGTAAACTAAAGATACCCTAGGTTCTAGATTCCGGTATTGTCAGCTCGATCTTGATTTCATATATAATCCATATCAACAATACTAGAGCAATACTAGTAAAAGCGACTCCATCACAAGGTATATTTAACAAGCTTGCTTTTACGTTGCTCTGACACTCAAGGTAACTAAAGATTGCCTGTACTAGAAGGCTATGCTTCTACATATATGTGTGGAGAGAGGTATTAACTATAAACACATCAAATTGTGAGGTCTGAGTATGCATGCACGCACTTTAAACTGAAAAGGCACCATTAAAAGGGGAAATGAGCACAACAGGTTGGGATTTTACCACGAGTTCAACCACTAATAAAACGTGGCGTTTTTATGATAACTTTATGACAAGCTTAGGCAAATCGAACTTAAGTTATTCAAAACGAAATATTCTAATTTGTGATAAAGCTGTCGCTATGGACTGGTGGTAATTCGGTTTTTTTATAGTATTGTTTGAGATAAGACAACTTCATATTAAATTGACAAAGACAACATTAAAACATTGTACAGAACTAACTTTTGTATTTAATTCTAATGATGCTCATCTTCCATGATAATTATTAACACAAGTTAAAAATATCTTCCATAATGGCTTATGCCCCCCCCCCTCCCCCCGGACGTAAGCCTCTGACGTGAGTTATGAGCTAGCTTATGGTATGGCAAATATTTTCAGCTTGTATTTAAATTATCATTTATAATCTAAACACCAAGCTTGGCTCATTTACGTGATATTCGTCTTGTTTATTTCAGGTACATTTTGATATTGTTGTTTGTGTTCCGACCCGTATGTATATCAGGTGAGAATGAGTTGAAAACCAATCAGAACTACATACCGGTAAATATATGTGGAAGATTATTCATTTTTTTTATTTAAGTAAAACTATTCACCTGACGCTTAACTTCAGTTTCTTTCGCACGAGGAAGTGAATAAATATACCGTGTCCTTTATTGCTATATTTTGCTCAATTAGGTTCTTATACTGTGGTATGTATACATTTACAATAACATTTATCATATGTGTTTTAATAAATCCTTCGCCTAATGTCACTTAATGTTTACGCCAACGCTACAGGGTCACCATGTAGAAATGTGTCATCTATAGAGAAAATGTAAAATTTATTACCATATATGATAACTCTTTTTGTATAGGTGGTACATTTTAAAAAGTACCCTTTTGATCGGAAAGAGCTCGGCTTTGAATCACATTTTAAAATGTCTCGAGTCTCTTAAAACTACAGTAATTGTCGTCAAGAAAGACATTTGAATTGCTTGTAAAATTTGACAATAGAAGTTGGATGCAAAACTTATCGGTGGGTTTGAAGCACAGAACTGTGAGAAGCATTTTTATCAAAGTAAGTCACTGTTCATTGTGGTCTAAATTTGATCTCGGCTCTGTGTCTTTCCCAAGTTGGACCGACAAAGGGGGCAAAATGTCTGTTTTCTTTTGGAAAAGGACACAAGCCCCCCTTTGATATTGCTGGCGACAGGAAAGGGATGGTAAGCATAGAATGATTTCACTTAAAATAAAATAAACCATTGGCTGATGAGCACCCTGAGCTTCAGAGATAACTTGACACTAACCTCTTCACTATAGCCTATCTTCATCGTGTCAAGTTACCTCTGACCACATTCGATTGCCTCCGCCGCCCGCCAATCAAATTTAAAGCCCGCACTCAATGACTCATTGAACGATCTAGCCAATGAACGCGAACGAGTCAAAGCGCGCTTTGTTCAAATCCGGACCAATCAAAGATAAGGCTGAATATCAGGGACTTGCCGTAACCTGTGGGCAGCACGCAAAATACATCATCCCTCAGTAGATAATTATGCAGGGCATCAAACTGCTCTGGTTTCAATTCCGATATACTCCATGCTTTCTTTGTGTACGGTTATGCACTCGGAACTACTCGGATGTCTCCGCACTCGACAATAACTATGTTGTTAGTATGGAGCTTGCGGAATCAGCCGAGGATTGCCGATTGACGGTCAACCAATCAGCATTTTCACCAAACTTTGGTGAAAAATTTTGAAACATGGATTCGATTGGCTTATATAAACTAGGTCAAACTATTTTCGTCAGAGGTAACTTGACACGATGAAGATAGGCTATAGTGAAGAGGTTAGTGTCAAGTTATCTCTGAAGCTCAGGGTGCTGATGAGCAACTCAATTATCAAAACAACAGGGCACTGCATTGTTAAACGCACATGTTTCGTCAAGGGACAAGTGACGAAAAGACCATAATGTAGGCTACTGTAGTTGCTATAGAGGGCATGATTGGATCGGCTTCAATTTTGAGAAGGGGTGGTGTTCACTCTGTCCAGCGTTCCTTTTAAGTCACTATGCTTTTTAAACTTTGAAACAAGGAGGGCTTTTCTTTTAGCCTGTGTTTACCAACATATCAACAGAAGAACTAGGGGCAGCTAGAGGATATTTACAGCTGCAACTTTTCTGGAAAGGCATTTTCCGGTAAACTAACATGTATTTTTTAAAAAGGATTTCAGCTGGTCTCTCTTTGTATACAAGTAGTATATTCTTTACAAGCGCCTATTTCTACTGTCGACAAGGTATTACTTGTTATATATTACCATATAATATAACCACTGTGACGTACAGATATTAAAGTGTTCTACGTTTCTATACCTTCACTCCAGCTTGCCCAGACGGCTGGACATTATATGGACCAAATGGTTACTGCTACTTGTACTCCACCATGACGTTAGACTTGGAGGATGCTGAGTCATTTTGTGCCACATCCCTCTCGGGACATCTGGCGAGTGTTCACAGTGCAGAAGAAAACGCTTTCCTTGGAGGTCTTCAACAACAGTGAGTTGATATACTGGTCATTTATTCCATGTTCTAGTTCGATACACTCAAAAGAACATAGAAAAATTATCATGTAAATGTATTAGGGGATGAAGCGCTCCCTTCAAGTACTTTATTTCGAAATTTTATTTTGCGTATTCTGGTTAAAACAGTCATAGCATCAACGATTCTGTGGGTGAAGCCGCTTTTCTGTCTTTAGATTAATAAGCACGTGTATACAAATTAAAGGGATAATAACTCTTCGTATGAGATCTATATTTCACAATGAAAACATTGTGAATAACTCATAGAAATATAATATATTCTGTTTTACCACAAAAACGGCAGTTATAGCTATTATTCTGATATCTGAGCTTGTCTTTAGACCACGTGACCTCCATTGATGGCTTTACTCTGTTAAAATCTGAGATTTTAACAGAAAACCAAACTTTTTAGAAAAAAACCAGGGACTAACTTTGAATGTAAAAATGGATTCATTAACCATTGGTAAGTATGGGAAAATTGTTGTTTACTCCAGGAAAATTCATTTTTTTGGCCGGATCGAAGAGTAATTATCCCTTTGAGCTAGAAACAATTAAACTTTGATCCACTGAATTAGTCGAAAAAAGGAATAGTTTTAGTCCGTGGTACATCAGTGATCTAAGGCTGAAGAAAGGCCTGAATGTCTCCGAATACAAATTACTGGTTAGAAACTTTAAAATCATTACTGTAATTGTAATGCTAAAATCCGTAGGGGAGAATCCTATACATCGCGTATGTCACAATTCTTGATCGCTACATTGTATTACCCCGTAACTCGAAAGCATCGAGCATCGCGAATAGCGATATCACATAGAGGCTACAATGTATTATATGGGGCAAGTATGGGCGAGTTATGGAATCGAGACGCTTGCGCTAGGTCGCAAAGCGCGATGCTTTCAAGTTACGGGGCCCAGGGTATGACTCCGTCTTGTTTTACACGCTATTATCCTTTAGAACAATCAACCAACTGTTAAATCAAACGTTTGAATAGCAACAAACGAACATGCATGTCATAGATAAACTTTCTTGCTATTTTTTTCTGTTCAGTCTAACAGAACCATTTACCGCATGTATCGGATGCATTATATATAAGATACTAATCATTTATCACGAATACTTGAATGACTTTTACCAAAAGTGTCTTCTGATAATCCTATATAGTTGTTAAACATGGAGGGTGAATCCACATTTCCTGCTAACATGATACAAGTACATGTACACAAAAAAGCCTTCGAATTACCCTAAAACTTGCTGTACCTTATCACCTTCCATATTTAACAACTACTCTATTAACTTATCTCAAAATAATATATTATGAACAAAATATTTATTTATTTTCTTTTCACTTCGGAGAGCGGTGGGCATGCGCTGCCATTTGATTCATATTTTCCTTTCCTCAGAGGCGGTCTCGCCCTCATAGGTTACAACGAGAAAAACACGTCAGGCACGTATGTATGGACCGATGGAACTGCAGATGATTTTAATGCATGGCAATCAGACCAGGCAAGCGGATTCAATATATATGATTGTGTTGCTCAAAGCTTCGATACATTAGGGTGGATATCCGTTCCGTGTTTAATACCATTTCCATTCTTATGCAGGGCTTTATGGATAGGTAATGCCATTTGAGGCATGGTCGTCTTATTGCTATTTATATTACGGCATTATAATCGTATAATTATGTCAATATTACTCTCTTTTTTGGATGTGCTGAACGTGAACCCAACTTTTCTATTTTTCTATGATATATCGCGTCAATGTAGATAAGAAAAAACAATAGAAAATGAATGATTTTAGAATTGATCTGAATTGAAAATGGATATCAACATATTGCATTTTTTTATTTCCGTTAACTCAATGCACACAAAAAACAATTATAGCTCCTGCGGGTCCACCAGGGACGAGCGGACCCCCGGGAACCGTGGGTGGTCCAGGGACTTCGGGTCCACCTGGCACTTCTGGCCCACCAGGCTTAGGAGGGCCTAGCCCAGAAGGTCCTCCTGGAACAAATGGTCCACCAGGAACAGGCGGTCCTCCTGCATCCAGTGGTCCTCCGGGAACGGGTGGACCTCCAGCAACAGTTGGACCACCAGGAGCCATGGGACCACCCGGAAGTAGTGGGCCACCGGGGACTGGAGCACCACCAGGAACCAGTGGGCCACCAGGGACAAATGGACCCCCCGGAACTGAAGGACCACCAGGGACAGAGGGCCCACCAGGCTCGAAAAGTCCTCCAGGAACTGAAGGACCTCCTGGTACAGGAGGGCCTCCTGGCACGCAAGGATCACCGGGAACGGGAGGACCCCCAGGGACAGCGGGGTCACCTGGGTCAGGGGGTCCACCAGGTACATCAGGACCTGTTGGCCGCGATGGCCCCCCAGGCACTAGTGGTCCTAACGGTGAAGCAGGGCCAATAGGAAATGGTGGGCCACCCGGACTGAAGGGTGTTACTGGAACTATTGGACCACAGGGAACTGGAGGTCCACCTGGAACCCGCGGACCTGATGGCACAAATGGTCCACCCGGAAGTAGTGGCCCTCCAGGAACAGGTGGACCACAAGGCATCAGTGGGCCACCAGGAAGAGTTGGTCCCCAAGGAGCAGCAGGACCTCCAGGCACAGGTGGACCCCAAGGACTAATTGGACCCATGGGGACTGTTGGTGCTGCTGGATCAGCTGGTCCACCTGGGTTAATAGCGCCTCCTGGACCAACCGGGCTGAGAGGACCACCAGGGACAGCGGGACCAAAAGGTTATCGGAAATGTTTGCTTTTATAATAGTATGCAATGGTTTTAAGTGTGTGCATATATTTTAGTCCCATAACCTAATTAATCTATTTAACCTATCTAATTAATCTATTTATTTAACCTAATTAATCACTATTTATTGGCAGAGGATATATTGTTGTACAATAAACAGGAATGCGTGACAACGAGCACTCTTTTGTGAATTTCAAATCTCTACATCAGAAATACAGTACATAAATTATGTCTTCAAGTTTATCACCATATATCTGTGTAGATTTTAAATATTATCTTTAATCATAGGACTTCCGGGAACCCAAGGGCCACCAGGTGACGTGAAAGGCATGAAGGGTATGAAAGGCATGACGGGGGCTCCAGGTCAGCAAGGACTTCCAGGGTCTGTTGGACATCCGGGAGAGAAGGGAATGCAGGGAGCTGAAGGCCTACCGTTCTTTGGAATGAAAGGAGAAAAGGGAGTGTCTGACAGATTTTTCGTGGTACTCCGTGGACGGACAATATCTACAACCACAGGACGATTTGCACGAACATTACCTCCAACTTCAACGCGCTTTGAGAGTCTTACTACTCCACTGGCTTCACCAGTAATGACGACCAGTGCATCCCTGTTCCTTAGAGGTACGAGTATAGCACACATCCAAATTGCTTTGACACCAATTATAACAGGTAGAAATCAAGACTTGTTGACTCTATTCTCTGTGGACTAATTGTTTGTGAAACTCTCTTTAGATAAATAGGACAACATAAACGCACTCGATAATCTTGCTAAACGGTCGTAGATGCCCTTAAGCCCAGAATAGAAGTCGTTTTGTGAAACAGTTAAAAATTTATTTGAATAGAAAAAACATTTGTGAAGCAAGTTAGCTAACAACAGATTAACGATAAAGATTATTTTATTCTAATGCATCGCAAAATGGTTGTAAAAATATAGGATGGTTTTTATAAAGTCCCTTTTTTTACCTTCAAGGTGATAACCAGAATAGTACCTCAAGACGTGACAACAGCAAAGAAGACTTCAGTATTCTGCAACAAATTAAGGGCGCCATGGTACATGAAATTGTACTAGGAGTAATCATAGGAACGGTTTTCCTAGGGACTATCTACCTCTATGTAGTCTATTTTAAGCAAGTGGCGTATGAAAAACGTGAAATTGAAAAAATAAGAAGGAAATTGGATGGGATGAAGCCTTAAGAGGAAACTTTATTCAAACGCCCATATTAAAGGTACATATGAACCGAGCATCGGTGGAGCGTGGATTCCCAGTAACACATGTAAACCACTTCTACTGGATTCTTATATGACACAAATAAATTCGACATGCCAAGGGATAAACTGAATAGATCACTCGATCAGCCATAAAAGACCTTTAGACTGCTCCTTTCTTTAAATTTTTGGTTGTAAATTTAACCTACTTTCGTGACCTACTTTCCTGCCCCATTGACATACAGCTTAGAATGCCAGCAGAAAAATCCGTTCAAACATCATTTTGGGGTAAAATTAAACAATGCCTTTTGGTAATTCTCTTAGTTATACTACTTGAAACTATATGTTGGCATTTGGTTGGTTTTTGTGACAAAAAATTGACTTTGTATGCATCTTTAATCATATTTATGTAGAACCTGAGGCTGAAATTTTTTAATGTCAGAAGATTTATTCTATGACATATAAGTCTGCTTGGTTATGGTAACGAAAATAATACCAAATAGATTAACTATTTAAATATCAATATCATGAAATTGTCTTCCATACGCCATACCCACTAAACAAGCCTGCGGCACGAGTATCCTATATGAGGTTTGTGTCTCATCTAAGAGTGACTAGCATGTGCAATTAAGGCGACCAAAGACACAGCTGAATATATCTCTATAGTTTTAAATTGACTAAATACACAGAATGTGAAAATGAACTTTATCTTTCTCCAGATGATTGGCAGGCAGGTAACAAAAAATAATGTCAAGGTTCATTTGAAATAGACCTATTGCTATTCTTGTCTTTGTCTCGCTTAATGATGACAATTTAAAAAAATGAATTAATACATTTCAGATTTTAATTTTAATATAAACTTCGTGTTGAAAGCCAAATATTTCCCTGGATACTAGGTAAAAAGGAGCCGTTTCCCAGTTTTCACATCAGGTGATCATTATTTAAAGATTAGCTATTATAGAGGTTAGGGAACTCCTCTCAATGACGCACAGCTATAGCCCTAAAATATATCTTAAGGTTTAAACCCATTGTTGTCAACTTCAATAAAGCAAAAATTGGTCTGAAATAACGATGCACTAGAAAATGTGTCATTCACAATGTTAATAAAATAAGACTGGTTTAAGCCAATTGTCCATATCAAATAAATACTTGAGTAATTGAGCTACACGTCAGCTTGTTATATATATATATATATATATATATATATATATATATATATATATATATATATATATATATGCCTTCAACTTTATCTTGTTAGGGCTGTTACATTTCGGCATTATTTATTAAAAGCAAGTTTTCTTTTCTCTTTTTTAAAACAATACATTAAGATTCTGTAAATGGTGCATGGATGCAGAAAGATAGACAAAATAACAAATAGTCATCAACAGAGGCCATTATGTCTTAAAGGCAAATCAGTCATATTTAGACTTCTATATGAGCATTTCAGGGGTTGAGACAGAAATTTCGGGTCACTGGTCCTATGGGACTAGTGACTTTGCTGTGTTACTAGTCCCAGCTAATTTTTAGTGGTCCTCGTGTAGTGGTATGCATTTCAACAATAACATTTTTACAATTACACTGTTTTCAAATGATTATTTATTAAAATTAGGTTAATTTATCACACATCATAATTAAGTTGCCATTTATTCTTTGAGAAATCGCGGTTTCACCTAATTTTTTTTTAATTTTGCGGGGTTATGCTTTTTATATACTTTTGCACCGTTCTTATTTTTGGTCCCTTTCGTGCACCAAGACGTTTGTCCGTGTCCATAGCTTCTTGCAAAATGTTTTTGACATTACGTACACGAATCACGGCGGCCCTGTTATCATTTATAGTAACTCCCACCATTAAAGTATCGAGGTCTTCTATTATAAGACTGAGAGGGTATATGTAAGGATCGTCAATAAATGAACCTCGAATTATGGGGACATCTAGGATTGTGGGTTGTACGTGTATTGGTGAAGACACAAAGACAATTCGTGGCACAGGTAAAACACTGAGCAGCACCAAATTTGCAGTGTACACAGAATGTCCGTTTGATTTTTTAAGAACTCGCGCATGACCCATGCACAAATAATAAGGCCATTTGTATAAATCAAAAGGCGATCCTCCTCTTAATACATCGTCCTCTAGTTTAAATGGGTACTGATCAGCATTTTCAGTTTTGAAAGTAAATGCACAAGAAAGTTTGGAGTCACATTTCAGCACTCTCAAAGGATCCAGCGTGTAAATGTAATACAGCGTCCCCTCTATATCAAGAGGCGACCAATTCGAATCTATTGTGGTCATGGTATAATTCTTTATAGTTGGCTTCATAACATAATTTTGGTTATACTCCCAAAGATATAAATGTCCAGTTTCTTTGCCAGCAATTTTCATGCACATGTAGAAGCTGAGCCATAGATGTGATCCTACTTTGACAAGTCGTCCATCCGACGGCCCGCCATTCATAATATATTGTCTGGGGGCAGGAATCCCAATAATACTAAGGTTCGTCTTGGGTTTAAAATATCTGTCAAACTTCTGAGTGAGTAAATAATTGTCAAACCAGCTATTTGGCTCACTGCTTATGGTATTTTCTGAGTAACGCTTTTCGTAATTGAACCAAAGTCTTAAAGAAAAAATAATTTCGCCTTTGTAAAAAGTCATACCGGGACTCATGATGTAAAACTCCATATTTGAATCATTGCCGCTTGGATTTGGGAACATCTTTCTGACGTGATCCTCGGTCTGGGGATAAAACTGGTGCACGAGAGTCGTAAGCAAATCACCCGTAATGTCAATGTGGCCATCATCGTGAAAAACAGCACCGGTTATTTTTGCTGCATAGGGATAGAAATCCCGCACGATTATATTCTGGTCTAAATTGTGAGCTTCGTCGTAGGTCGTTTCCAACTGGTCGCATTTTTGTGATTTATATCTCTTTTTCACACTGTTCTGGCTGTCTGTCAATTTGCCGCCGGTGGAAGATTCCCAGAGAGCAAGTACGATAACCACTGCTATAATGCCACAGCTGGCTGCGAAGTATTTCACAACTTGCCCACGCATCGTTTCAGGTGCTAGAAAAAAAAACACAGACCATCATGATTATGTCCATGACAATGTTGAGTTTGTAGTTTTTCCTTAGGATTTTAAAGATGAAAATAAACATTATTCTCATTGGGATATTATTAATGAAATAATTATGAATGCCTTAAAGAATATACATGCATCTCGCCTACATTTGTTAGGTAAACATGTATGTAAGGTTTAACATCGGCATTATGTATGTTATGAATCTAGTTTATAAATAAGCTATATCAGATTAGTTCGGAAAAGGCAAGGAGTTATAACTCCATGGAAAAGGCAACAAAAGAGTCCTCTCCAGGCCCTAGCTTTACACTAAATTACAGCGAATGAAGACAAGGTCGCCTATACCTTTTTGATGTATCTGGGCTTTTCCCCTAGGAAAAAACTGATCATTAAATAGTAGGCCTATCTAGAAAAAATTCTAATGTATTATACTAGTGCTTCAGACTGTTTATGTTGAGGCTATAAATACCCACGTCCTGACAATACTTATGTGTAAGGGCACCTAGCATGTAGGGCCGAAAACTGAGGCAATTAAGCCAGGGAGAGGTTATACATATTCAAGGCTTATATAGCGATAGGTTGGCACAGTATTATTTGACATACATACCGAGAGAAAGTAGGCCCTATTCACATGTCACCGTTTAACCGAATAAAGCGTATATATCGCCATGGTTACATAATATGTCTGGGTATACGTACATGCACATGTATGTACAATTTAACCACCTATTGTGACATTTCTATAGTCAGGTATACTGCGTACGGAGTGTACATGTACCAGTAATTATTTGAACCGTCGTGATGAAATCGAGGAAATGGAAATATCTCTAGTTTCTGAACTATTCTATACTTTTTGAGCAACAGTAGAATGTTAGCAGTAGATTGTCTTAAAATGCCCGTCTTGGGGCTGAATTTAATCACGAGACGCTTTATAGATACAAAACGCCGATAACAGGCCGATAACCCGTTCTTTGCTTTGACATATAACACTCGTTAATGAGCTGTCCATTAGTTTCAATACTAGAAAATATGAAATATCAATTTTTTGGTTCACCTTTATGCAATAGGCCCGGTTGGCTGAACTCTCTCTCCCACAATAACACCTGTCGGAGTTCTATTCCTTGTTCAAGTCGACAACAGCACGGGCGTGGTCATGCTGTTCCAATAGCACCACCCTACTAGTCTCGAGTGTCCAGCAGCCTCCAAATCTCCCGAGCTAAGTTGGAATCATCAAGCAGTATCCAGGCGAGCTTGTAAGGGCCGTTGATTTCTTTGATTTTCGTTGAATCTCCCCGGCCCTTTTCCTGAATCTCCCCTGACCCCCCTGACCCTCTAGGTTGTGTCCGACCTATATAATGCAGGGGCTTAACGCAGGTGGATGGATTATATGACGAATATAACGCAGGTGAAGTGTTGTCGCTCAGGGGCCCTTTTGTAATACCCCGGCAGCTGTGAGCAACACTGATGTAAAGTAACTAACTCTGCAATTTGAAGTAATTAATATATGTATGTACCGTAAGGGGACTACTAAAATAGGGTCTGGACAGAGCTGGAAAATGAGATTTACAGAATCAAGTAGACAGACGGGTGTTCCGGGAGAGAAGGAGTTCAGAGTATGGAGACCCTACCCTCTACCAGGGTGGCAGATTATATAGGTCTTTTTATCTATAGACATATCTGTGAATATCTGTGAAAAATCCCACGTCATGATGTAGCTACGGGCGTCAGCGAATAAATCGCACCACTGGTCATTATGTGTAGGCCTACTTGGATTTTCTTTGTGCGACCTCGCGTTAGTCTGACACAAATCGTGGTGTCTATATGGCTTGCGTTTACACATCAAGGTGATCAGGCTATTGTAAATAAGGAATGTGTTATTATAGCCCTATTAGTTTTATATTTTCGTCCTAGAATCGAGACTGTCTAGTTTCACAAAGTGTTTGACCTTATTGGTGCACATTTGGTGTTTCGAATCCTCGTGTTTGAAAAGAGTAGGCTGAAGAGTGGGCATAAAACTTCACATCCTAACCGGTATATCAGGAATAAAATAAAAAATTTTAATGAATCCTGGAAATTTGAACAAACCCCCTGAGTAACGAAAGTAAATCCCATCCAAAACTGTTGAAAAAAAAGTATCTATAGACCCTTTTTTATTTCTAAGTCTCTCATGGAAGCTGGTAGATTTCTTTTATATTGATAAAAAATAGAAATTTTATGAGTGCGCACATTGGCATGTTTCTATACAATCAAAAACAAAGTTTTTAAAAATCTAATACTGGACCTATGATTAGTCTAACGTACGGCGTTATTTATGCGAAATACGACCAGATGACTTATCTTCTACGTACATAGTTTTATTTTCCCATACTTACCAATGGTTAATGAATCCATTTTTGCATTCAAAGTTAGTCCCTGTTTTTTTTTTCTAAAGAGTTTGGTTTTTTTGTTAAAATCTCTTAAGAGATTTTAGCAGAGTATAGCCATCAATGGAGGTCACGTGGTCTAAAGAAAAGCTCAGATATCAGAATAATAGGTATAACTGCCGTTTTTGTGGTAAAACAGAATATGTTATATTTCTATGAGTTATTCACAATGTTTTTATTGTGAAATATAGATCTCATACGAAGAGTTATTATCCCTTTAAGGATATTGTAACCCTTCGCCTAAAATCCCTTATATGCCTTACATACATTCTTTAGGGTATTAAATAGGCCTACATCTTCAGTGTTCAGTGACTAAATTAACGAGTAACGTCATAATTGCGATTATGGGGTAAAAACGAAAAAAAATATCTTTTAATAGTGCACCCACGATCACCGTTTCATCGCCGATTTAATGACACCATTTAGTACTCCAAAACCAAGCAAGAGATTTTTTTTAAAGGCTTCGCTCAGATTTTATCGTTGATAAAGCAAAATGATGCCTTTGTTTAATGAAAATTTGTAACAGGGGTCTCATAACTCCACAACAAAAACATTTAAACCAAAATGACGACACGGGATTCTAGCCTATACACTCCTGGTCAACTCTCGTGATAAAATCTTGTTCATGGATGAAGTTACGCCCCATATCAATTGCTATCTCACCTTAAAAAAGGTAGAAAGGTGTTGAATTGACGATTAAAGCTTTGAAGTGCCTATGCTAATACATTGCAACGAAAAATATGAACGCTGATATTTTATATTTTCGAGGGTTTTTTCATTGTTTTAAATCAGCACAAAGAGAGATGCATTATTGAACACAATAGATGCAGGAAAAACCTCATTTTCGGTATCTGAATGATAATAAAGGTTTACAATATCCTCAATTCACTATGTAACAGCTTTCAGTCAACGCCGATTTAATGACACCAATTAGTATAGTACTCCAAAACCCAGACAGCGATTTTTTAAAAGGCTTAGTTTAGATTTTATCCTTAAATAATGCCTTTGTTTTATGAAAATTTGTAATTAGGGGTTCATAACTTCATGACATGATCATGGGACATTGCATCAGAAAAAAGGGATTAGAAGATCTTCGCCTTAGCGGTAGAATACCTGGCAAAAGTGCCCGTGGCAGACAACGAAAGTCCTTTCTTGGCAATTTTGAATTACCAACAAGACACCTTTGGTCATGGGCGCGAAATAGAACCCTTTGGCAAAATATCATCGTTCGTCAAACATCGAATCGGTGATGGCACATAAAGAAGAAGAACTTTATAACAAAAAAGTTTAAACCAAAATGTCGACACGGGATTGTAGCCTATACACCCCTGGTCAAGCATGCAAATTTTCGTTATAAAATAATGCTCAGGGATGGAGTTACGCCCCATACCAATTGCTATCTCACCTCAAAATACGGTAGAAAGGTGTTAAATTGACGATTAAAGCTTTAATATGCCTATGCTAATTCATTGCAACGAAACATATGAACGCCGATAATTTATATTTTTTGCAGGAAAAATTTCATTTAAGGGTTCCAGTATCTTTAATGGACTATGTAACAGCTTTCAGTCAACGCCGATTTAATGACATAGTAGTCCAAAATCCAGCAATATTTTTTAAAGGCTTGGTTCAGATTTTATCGTTGATAAAGCAAAATAATGCCTTTGTTTTATGAAAATTTGTGGGCTCATAAGTCCATAAACATTTAAGCCAAATACCTATACACAGTGGCAGATTTCGAGGGGGGGGGGTCGGTTTTGGGAGGGGGTCCTGACTTCCCCTTCGGTTTCTGAAAAAATTACACTAATATTCTCATCTTGAAATTAGAATTTTGACAAGCGTATTTATAGTACTTAACCGTACCGAATGGCACCGTTCGCCCGCTAAAATACCAAAAAATTTCGGGGCCCTAGAGCGGGCCCTTAACCCCACGCCAACTGGGGACCCCCTCCCCCCCTCTTTAAATAATCCTAGATCCGCCCCTATAAAATCCTTTTTGTACAACAAATGCCTCGTGAAAAATATAATGTTCTAACAAATATCTGTTTATTAATACACACGTTTCTGCTAGCTTGGGTTCTTAAAATTCACTTCATCCAAATCATTCAAATAACGTTTACTTTTTAAATTATCTTTTAGCTTCTACTGTTATTACAGTTATATTTCAGAGTTATATGATGAGCCTTTTTTTCTACACATCATAATAGAGAACAACACGACAAAAATATTTCTGTAATCAAAATCCATTGATCCTGCAGAATGTCTATATGTCATAATCAGGGTAAAAATTCCACTTTTTTACTGCTGCCGGATTTTTAATGGTCTGCAGATATTCGTGCTTTTTTTCATTTCAGATGGTGCTATCCTCATCTCCATAAACTGGGTTGCTGAAACTGAAAGTGGTATCGGCGCTTTTCGCGGGATCGGCATAAAGTTTGTCCTACAAAAAAAGAAACAAATATCAAAATGACTGGTTCAATCAAAGTCAGTATCAGATGTTGTCATTTTGGCTTTAATTCAGTTTGTGCTATTTGCAATATACCCCATTAAATTCGTTCGTACACTTTTAATCCATAGCTTATGAGGCTGGGTGGGGTAGCATTCCTCTCCTACCCTAACTACGTCAGTCATAAACGCAGGAAACTAGAGGAGTCACCCATCGCTTTTTTTTCTGGATGCCCCCCCCCCCCCCTCCATCCTTATGCCTACTAGGCGTCTCATATTTAACATGCGTACACTTAATGCAGCATTATCTATTCTTCAGTGTTTTACTGCATGGTGATGGTTTAATTTTTCACTTACTGCAATGGGTCCCCCATAAAGTGGGTTATCATAGCCACCGTCATCAGTCGGCTCAGTCTCTTCACGACGCTGAAGCTCAGAGAACACCATAGGTCCCATGTGTCCGCCGTGATGCTCGCTGTAACCAGGGTTATCAAAACCCCGCCCGACATTTACGTCACTGAGCTCTACGTCACCTTTCTTGAACCACATGAGAGGGGAATTGGCGTTCCTGAATTGATAATGATAATGTTAATGATAATTCACCGAATGCATGGTAAAATAATGATAAACTCAGAGGTACATCATTATATACTTCTATAATAAATTAATGTTGAAGTTTAGTAAGATGGACCAAGCTTTACCTAGAGATCTGCATCTAACTGAGACTTAAAAAAGAATTTGCATTAAACAACTGTATCTTAAAACACCTACCTTTTCCATATGAGGAAACACACCATACAGATGATAAGTACAATAAAGAATCCCGTGGTTCCCAGGATGATGCCAGCGATCCCTGCAACACTCATTTGCGGACCCTGGACGACTGCTTGTGCAGTGGGTGCGACGCCCGCAGTACTACCCCCGGGCTGCTGACTCTTCTCAGGTACCGAAGGGGTATTTGTGATGGGAGTAACGCTGGTCCCTGACGTTTGCATTGATACACTAGTTACTCCATAGCCGGCTGTGCCTTGCGTGTCTACAAATAAGAGTTTACCGATTACCTGAACGCATTTATTTGCATCTTTGAAGTATGCATAAAAGTCAGTCACATGCCAGCACTGAGATTCAAGTAGAAAGACAGCTCGATGAAGTGTATCTCAAGGTGAAAAAACATTTGTAACATCAAGTCAGTTTGTTTAAATAAGTTTATAGGTATAATGCTGAAGCGCAACGCAATGAAATTCATCGATATTACGCAACAATCACGACAAAATATTTTATCCGCGCATCAGCATTTTGAATGTTAATAAACTGATACTTTAAAAAAGGGTAGACTATAAATTGTTTTATAGATTGATTCGGGAGTGCCCCCTCACTTGAGCCTATACGCTCAGTTTGTAGCGAGACGAGTAGTCACCGCGAAGAAAACTACGTACATGTACTGGCCAACTTCCTAATTTACGGGTTCAGCGTGACCCCCCAAGCGATACACAAGGGCGTAGGATCATTATAAGAAGACTGGATGCAGGTAAGAAAGTGACTTATTCAATCCATCGCCTTCTCTACAGCCACCACGCCGATGTAACGTGTCAGGGAGTCCCCAACGACAGAGTCCGCTTCCCATTCATTTGTACAGGTAAGCCTCGCCCTAGATTTTAACCCACCTAGGTCAGGCTAACCCTAACCATAAAACCTAAATGGAGAAGGACTTCAGACCCGTAGCCTGTTTATCTAGGTACACATAAGTTTAATTGTAAAAGATCCACTTTTTCAGAAAAAGACCCCCCCCCCTTTTTGAATTTGCTGGCTACGGGCCTGGACTTTCTGTTACACCGACTCTCAGTTTCGTTACTCCGAAAACGGCAGAGGAATGACGACAGTAAGGAGGCGAGTTTCTAGTGTCCTCTGAAACGCAGGTGGCTTTCGAACGCAACAGGTAACAATTCATCACTTTGCTCGGTCAAAACGGTATCAGTGCTCAAGTATTACAGGGTGATCATGACTCCCTCTCTCGCCACTACATGTGCGACCATGCAGTTACAGACACCAACAACAAGTACTTTCCCATGTCACAATAGATCGGTACCTGTAAATAGAATATATATATATATATATATATATATATATATATATATATATATATATAAGTTA